AGTATGCACCTGGCAACACAATCTCCCCAGTCTGTTTTACAGCCGTGGAACACCGAATGAAACAAATTAATTTTTTGTTTCACGTCACGCCTACAGCTGTGTGTTTCATACATTGAAATTCGTTAATACATTTCATACACCTTTAAAAATAATCGAGTTACGTGATCTAGTAAACATTTTAACGACATATAAGAAAGCATATAGCTTAAAAACAGTGTAGTCTGTTAATTTTCTATGTGCTACTTTTTAGGCTTTAAGTCTCGCGATGGAATGAAATATGACACAAAAGATCAACAGACCGCAGCGGTGCATTGTGGGTAGTGCGTCCATAAGCACGTTTGGGATCCAGCATGGCAGGAAAGAGCAAGAGGTAACGTTAAGTATGATGTTTGTTGTATTCATTTAACAGTGTAAATCATTAATTTGGAGTGTTGTTAGAGAATAGAGGAACTTTATAGGATATAGAGCTGATTGTTTAAACAAGTACTTTCTCTAGTATGTAGTCAGAAGTACTGAACATTAGCGCTAGCCAGCTAGAGGGCTACACAGAAGTATTAGCACTTAGATACTGTGAATTATGGGCATTGTGATATTAGGAGTTTTATAGCGAGACATCTGAAATCTTGTTTTCTATATTAGCTTCACTTCATAATAGTAAATTAGAGTCAGTGTTTAGCTTGATGGTGGTTTTACAGAATAACTCCCTTGGCTAGTTCACACTTAAAAGTAAACTCAGGACTGTGATGTATGTGGTCTTAAAAACTTAGCCCATCTATACAGATTTATACTTGCAAGGCATCTTAGAGTAGAGTTAAAATAAATGCACTGATTGTTGATTTATTGTTAGATCAGCTGAAAATAAGAGAGCCAAACTGGACAAACTAGCTACATTGTACATCTGACTCCTCAGCACATCAAATGCACCTTTTGTACAGTGTCATATTGTTTGTGTATGTTTGTGGCACAGGAAGTTGGAGGATCTGAGCGTGGATGAATTCCTGTTGTCTGGATTTGACTCTTTCGAGGGGAATGAATCTGAAGATGAGGCTTCAGCCCCAGAGAATGGGACAGATAACTCTGTATCCCAAGAAAAGTAAGCATGGTTTTAATTGTGGTTGAGAATATTACAGAGAAAATGTAATTACACTGGTTTAAAAAAAAAAAAAAAAGAACAGCTACTGTTTTTCATTAGGGGCATGCTGAAAAGGTTCCACGCTGAAAAGCAAGACCCTCAATGCATTTCTCTTAAGACACTGATCTTTTTGATGAAAAGCAGTCATCAGGAGATTGCTTATTTAAGAGTTAAACACGAGTGCAGGTCAGAATTGAATCTAAGCATTTGATTTGATTCTTTTACCTCACCGCTCTGAGCCGCACGTAAAATACAAAAAAACATTGAAAAGTAATGAAAATGAAATGAAAGTTTTGACTATAGCGATGTCACAGACGATTGTGCTGATGCTTTAAATATCACATCAGCACAATCATCTGTTCGGCACGTTTTCCTTCTTGGCTGTTGACTGTAACTGACGTCACTTCCAAATACAAACACACCCCATAATATTAATCCCGCCCCAACACTGATCGACGGGTTTCTGTGCAAGGCATAGGACATGCAAATGCAAAGGGAATTGCAATTCCATCTGAATTTTGGCAGGCTCCACATGCAACACTGAGGAAGTGAAATAGCAAACGGGGTATTTTCTATTGCCACTTCGATATGACAGGGTCATAACTCTAGAGACATGGGAAACGCAATTGCAAATAGACTTTGCTTTTCCATTTGAAATTTGGCAGACATCGTACATTTGTTTAAATGAAAATGTAAACAGTAATACGTGATTTGCATTTTCATTTGAATTATGTCACAATTTATGCGTCCACGAATAGAAAATGCAATTGCAAACACAATTTGCAATTAGTTTTGAAAAAAGTCCAGAAAATACTTCCATATATAGCTGTAACGTCAGTTTAAATGTTATAAGTGTCCCACATTTACAAATTACTCCCATCTGTTTACTAAAATACATTCTGTATAACCAAACTGTATCCGTCAGACTGCACTCTACAAGTCAGACAATATATAAAGTATATTTTTTAAAAAAAAGGTCAACTTTCGCATACGATTTAGTTTTGAAATTTAGTCCGGCCCCGCCAAACAAATGTTTTTTGGTGTAAAATATAACCACATGGCTGCTAACTACCTTGCTCTTTCATGCATGATTTACCCGTATGCATTCCATCCAATTCAGCTGAAGCTAGCAGCACAGAACAGTGAAAGTACCCAAAATTTGATTTACTTGGAAGATTTGCAAATCTTAAGCACCACAGTTGATCATCAGTGGAACAAGCCTACAGCTTAAAATGCACATAAAGTGTTTTAATGTCAAGTCAAGTCAAGTGGCTTTATTGTCATTTCAACCATATACAGCTAGTTAGTACACAGTGAAGCGAAACAACGTTCCTCCAGGACCATGGTGCTACAAAAACAACACAGAACTACAAGAGACTACACATTACTACATAAAGTGCACATGCAAACATGTGCAAACAGCACGATAGCTACTAAAACAGGACAGTAACTACTAAAATAACTACAATACAATAACTAAGACAGTGCAATAAATACTAAAACACTACAATAACTAAGACAGTACAATAGCTACTAAAACAGGACAATAGACACAATAAGAGAGAGTGCAGCACTGACACAGTGCACAGTTTTAGTATGAAAGTGTCAGATGTAACAGCAGTGCAAAAGAATATCATAATAATAATAATTATTATTATTATGATTATTAATTGCTGTGAATGTAAACATAACATACTATGACAGTATTCAGCAGATAAGCTTATACTATATATGGATGTAGCAGTTATTGGGGTAGCTGCCAGGTAGAGAGTATAGTAATGACAATAAATAATATACAATATTTTTATAAGTACAGTAGCAGCAAAAAAAATGCAGGCAGTAAATACAGAAAAGTGCAAAAATTGCAAAGGAAGTGGGATTGTGTTCAGTTGAGTGTCTGTGTGTCTCTGTCTGTCTGTCTGTGTGTGTGTGTGTGTGTGTGTGTGTGTGTCTGTGTGTGTGTTGTCAGTCCAGTCTCTGTGTATTGAGGAGTCTCATGGCTTGGGGGAAGAAACTGTTAATGCAGTATTGTAGTATTGTGCTTGGGTTAGCATGCAGGTGCAAAAAATAACTTTCAGCTCATTCAAGCTGGTGAAATGATTCAACCACAGAGTTATTCATAATGAACAAATTATTCACAAGTATTCACATACAATTTTATTCGATTGGTCGAGCGTCGTTCTAAGAGTGCTTATTTTTATTATAACCTCAGTGGGATGTTTCAGTGTGTGTATCACTCCTCTCGTCTGTGTTCACCACGTAAAAATTCCACTTCCTAGTAGAGTTAGTGTCATCATCAGCGGACATGGCAAAGGATAATTTCCAGGAATATAACTTTTGATTTAACATATGAAAGCTTGTCAGATGAAGATGAAAAGGAAGAAGGGACGGCAATTTTTCTGGAAGCACCTTTAAAGGGAATGTACAAATCAATGTGAGCTCGCTAGCCAGCTAGCTGATGTGCTATAAAGTGAGTGTAGCTTCTTTGGGATCTATTTCCACTAGCAGAGCGAAAATAAACAGAACATTTGGCCATATTTTATCTGAAATGTCACTTACTCGATATTAATTTCCTGTTTGTAGTTCTGTTGTATAAAAGCAGTATCGCACTCATTGCTGCGTTATAAGCTGTGAATAACAGGCACTGAAATATCACACCATATTAGAGCTATACTTTTTAAATTTAATGTGATGTGATAAACATTGCTGTATGTCCTAACCCCTGTGTTCAGTGATCCTATGTGTGAAAGTGTCATGATCTATACTTCATTATGAATCATTTGCTATGGCACATATTAGCAGAAATCTAAACTCTGCCTTTTTTTTTTCTATGGAGTCTCAAAAAGAAGGGCAAAGCATCTCAACACAAAGACCAGCTCTCGAGGCTTAAAAACACGGATCCAGAGTTCTACAAGTTTTTGCAGGACAACGACCAGAAGCTGCTGAATTTCGATGACACGGATAGTTCAGAGGATGACGAGGAAGAGAAATACCACAAACTCCCATCTCAACTGGAGGTACGGCCTCATTTACTAGATGACTGTCCTGGTTAAAAAAAAAAAAAAACATTAGCAGGACACTATGGGAATATAGTATTTGGTTATATACAGCTGAGGCAAAACATACACTTAGGCTAAATATTTCATCACAAATGCCACATGTTTTATGTTAACATACATTTCTTTTGGCAAGTCAGTTAGGGCTTCTACTTTGTTCACATCAGAGGTTATTGTAAAACAATCGATTAGAGACAGATTTATTTCAGGTTTAATTTACCGTATCAGAATTCCAGTGGGTCAGACTTTCATATAAACCAAGTTGATTGTCTTTTAAACAGTCTGAAAGATCCCAGGAATTGATGTAATGACTTTTAGAAGCTTCTGATTGGCCAGTTGTTATATTTAGGAGTCATCTTGGAGCACATATGGCTGTATTTGGAGTCAGTGCCTTTTTTGCCCTTTATACTGTGGGAAAATCCAAGCAATTCAGCCAAGACCTCAGAATGAAATTGGTTGGCATGTTTGCCTCGCACCTTCGGGGTTGGAAGTTCGAATCCCACCTCTGCTCTGTGTGCGCGGAGTTTCCATGTTCTCCCTGTGCTTCGGGGATTTCCTCCGAGTCCATAGACATGCGTTGTAGGCTGATTGGCATTTCCAAATTGTCTGTAGTGTGTGAATGTGTGTGTGATCCTGTCCAGGGTGGCCCCCGCCTTGTGCCCTGAGTTCCAGGCTCCCCTGTGACCCGGTACGGAAAATGGATGGATGCAAACATTAAAAGCTTGGGACCACACAGACACTGCGTTATTCAGCCGTTTAACTGAGTATATCTAAGCTCACTTAACTTGGTGTTCATATAGTGTTCTTTATAGTTTACTGACCGTGAATCGAACCCGGACAGCGGTGATGAGAGCGCCTCATGCTAGCCACTAGTCCACCAGAGAACACCCTGTAAATACAGCGTGTCCCAAAAGTCTCCATACATAGAGGAAATTAACACACAATGTAACTTTATTTACAAAACATCCTCTACATGATTGCCATTTCTTTGTAAACACACACACTGAGTCTTCCTTCCTACTCATGATGAACTCTTGAACTTCACTACACCAGTACCAGCAGACAAAGAGGACCGCCTTTTGCAAATATCTACCAATCAGTGCATTAGTTCTCTTGTTGCTAGGCAGAACTCCTTGCATGGCCAATCACATCAAAGAAAGACCAGAGTGAGCAATTTTAATGAATCATAACACTTGAAATCTTAAGTTTATGTATGTTGTAGGTAAGTAAGTTAAAGATTTTTGATTTATGGGTACAAAACGCAACATTTTAAGTAATCTTTAGTCATGGTTACTTGATTGTTTAAGTAAAAACAACATTAGGGTTTACAGTGTGCAGTCGTTTGGCCTCGACTGTATAGTGTTTGCACTGATAGTGTGTTCTCAATATTTGTATTTATTTCTAAAGTATTCCTAGTCGATCTGAGAACGCAGTGTCCGTCTTTTTTATATTGTTTAGTAACAGTAAAAACTCATTTTAACGGAATAGTTCTCTGTGATTTCAGGTTGACAGCTCAGATGAGGAAGTGGATGAGAAAGATGAGAAAAAGGCGAAAAAATCTGCAAAAAAGGCCACAAAAGTCACAGCTAAGATGATTGAGGATTGGAAAACGGCGCTTAAGGTAATATTTGTCTTTACGCTAATGCATTTGAATTTTCTTCATGAATGTGGATTCATTAACATGTTATCATATTATCATGCCTTTGCGTGTTACAGGTGAGGACACTCAATGCCACCTTTAATACTTAAAGCATATTTTTACATTTTACTTTTTTGAAACACATTAAATATGATTTCAAGAGTTAATATTACAATATTTTGTTATTCTGGTTGGTGGTTGTGTGTCACTCTGCCATCACAGGGTGACATTGCTAGTACAGTTACAATGACATTTAATAGGAGAAGGAAAATTCAACAGTTGAGGTCAGGTTTTGCTGTTAGCACCTTCTTTTCTCACTCACCATTTTTCAGAGTTGATAAGGACTACTGGATTAGTGTGAAATGTGATTATAAAATAAATTCAACACCATTGAAGGTCACGTGTTGATGACAAAGATTAATATGCAAGTCGACAAGAATGTTTTTTTTCCTTTATTCCCTTTATTATCATTTAACAGCATTAATAATAAACAGAACCTTTTGAAACGAGTTACGTAGCCTGTGGTTTGTGCCATCACTTTCAGAGTGGTATACATTTAATCCTGCTGCACAATGCATGTTAGTGGTTTCTAGCAAGTGTCTAGTAAATAATAAACTACAATGCAATATACAATATTCAGGCTATGTTGTGTAGTCTAGGCCTATAAGCTAAACACAAAATGGGTTGTATTTTAATCTCATTAAACTAATAAACATTGAATACAGGGATGTTGTGCACTTATAATAATCTGACTGCCAACATAGGCCGATGTTCTCGAAACAAAATACGAGATGCAGAGTGGACCTCCTGATCACTGTTTTGCACAAGGATGTGTGACTTTTCATATTTAAAAAACAAAATCTGTACTTCCTCAGCCAGGCTTATCTGTGTAATATATAATTTGTAGAATCAGTACCTTTTTAAACATATATCAGACATTACACTCCTATTGATTGCTGTATTTATTACATTGATTTTCCATTTCCATTTCCATTATTTATGTAAGGACTAAAGCATGATGGAACATGCTGTTTTAGGAAGAGAATCATCAACGACAGGGGTCAAATGCAGAGTGGAGTTACTGTTACCACCCCGAAATGGATATTCTTCCTGTAACAGCACGTCCCGTAGTGTTTTGTTCCTTTATACCACAGCAGTTTGCCAATGATTACATTCATTCGTTTATTCATCTTCAGTAACCACTTTACCCTGGTCATGGTTGTTGTGCCAACAATAACATTTTTTTAATTTACTACTACGTCATACTTTTCATCCATTTATAGTTTTTTTTTTGTTGTTTGTTTTGCAGAAAGAGCCTACTCCACGTTTGGTCCGGGACATCACACAGGCGTTCAAAGCTGCAGTGGCAACTACAAAAGGCGACAAGGACATAGAGTGTCGCTACACTGTGGCTGACAGTTCAGGTAAATACCTCGCCTTAATGAAATGTATTACACATTATATGTTAAGTCAGAATGGGCTGAATGAAATGCTTGTTATTTTTCTTTTTTTTTTTCTTTCAGTATTCAATGCGCTGATCCTGTTCTGCATAAAGGACATGCATGGTGCCCTGAACAAACTGCTAAATTTCAAAGCTCCGGACAGAGAGAAAAAAAAGTATGGGCACGTAATTTTCTCGATCACTCAACCTCTCATTGTTTCTATCATGGTTCCCTTGTAATAGTGTTTATTTTGCTTATTAATGAACTCACCTGATTTATATGTATATATTTTTGCCAGATTAATATTGCCATCATCAAGTCCCAGGTGGCAGAAGAATCAGCTTGATATCAAAATGTATTTGAGTGGTCTTGTTCAGGTATGTTTTTCATTCGTGCTTTTTTATATATTTATTTATTTTTAAAGTTTGTCCTCTTAATCACAAAGAAGCTGTTGCAGTGTGTAACATGCTGATGTCTGCACTGAAATCTGTCTGTTCACAGCTGCTCTCCAGTCTCACCCAGTCCACAGTTATCACTGCTGTTCTCCGCCATGCAAACCAGATGGTGCCCTACTTCCTGTGTGTGCCCAAACAGGCCCGACACTTACTGAAGGTGGGGGTGCTGGGTTTTTTTCTGTGGTTATAAGAAAGAAATGTGTGAGTGGGTGTATACATGCAGCAGGGGTGGGCAAATCATTAATTTAATATCTGACCCACGGTAAGGGAAAAGCTCCAGTGTGTTGCTCAGTCTCATGTATTGGTTGCCCAAAAACCTAACTGATGAGGCTAAAAGTGGTAGCTAACCTGTTATATGTAATAAAGGATGGTGAGCTAGTTAGGTGCATTAATACTGACAAAGAGTAATAAAAGAATATATGATCATGTAGTATGTTGCATTTATATCTTTGACAAAAAACATTAGTGAACATTTCAGCTGAGAGATGTGGTGTTCTGTCTTCACATGTGAATTATTCAAGTCTGGTTACTGGCTTTATTTTCTCTTGATATGTTTAACTACAAGGACGCTACATGTTGTCCTAGCAGGAGAGTTAAATGACCGCTTTGTGCTGGACTTTATTCTGCTCAGTTTAATGTTAAATATGAAGTTAATAAACTAAAAGCCCAGACACATAATCTGCTTGTCACAGGTGACTGAGCTGGTGATGGGCACTATGACAAAAATATAAATAATAAAATATATGATTATATTTTAAGATATTTCTAAGATAAGTGTTCCATTATAAAAGAAACCTTTAAGAGTTAGGTTGATGATAATTATATTTAATGTGTAATCGGCTTGGGATGATGGACAATAGTATCAGGAATTGCCGAATCCGACAGATTCCAACAATCACGATAGATATCAAGTTGGACGATTAAACGTCTGTCGGAAAATGTGTTGTGCAGCTTTAAGATCTGCAAAAATAAAGTGTGTTGTATCTTGTACTACATGTTTTTTCTTTTCACTTACTTTGTATCCTATACGAACCATAATAACCTGCTGTATGACTTCAGAGCAGAGTAACAAAACATCTCTCTTTGCTGAATCTTAGCTTCCCTTGTCCATGCTGCTGAACAGATAAAGACGTGAATGTCTTCGCTCTCAAAACATGAGGGAAAGTTTAAATTAAGAAAATAACACAATGTGACTCAACACAGAGCACAAGCACGTAGTTTATATAATTTTATTTAAATATTATAATGAGCTTAGTTACAGCTAATAACTCATTACGTTTATTTACAGTCCCGACTTCAGTTTTGCAGCATTCCTGACTTTGTTAACAGGTAATTAAGCAAAAAAAATAAAATAAACCCTGACTAAACGCGATCGCAGCTACAGCCGACTCGTAACCGGCCTCCAGTACTTTTTCCGCTCTAATGACATGTACACGACATGCATTAAGTGTGTCTGGCCACACCCCCTTCTTTTCCATTCTCAAAGCCAATTGGCGATAGTTTGGGGGTTCGATAAGATGATGGCATATTGCACATAATCTCACAAGCCTAATGTGTACTAAAAATCTCTGTAAATTGTTAACATTTTACGTTTTTGAAGATTTAGACAGTAGAAAACGTACTCAAATCTGCTTCTAGTGTTTGTAATTGTTATTTTAAAAACAAAAGCATAAAAAACTATAAAAAGATCATGAGCCCCACAATATCGTAGCAAAGTCTATTGTGACTTAATTGATCGTGATATCAATATTATATGATCATATCGCCCAGCCCTAGCCTATACTGCTGGTTTGTCCAACCCTGGTGCAGGTTTATTTGATTCTTTTTCACTGGAGGACTACATGTAGTGGTTTCAATGCAGAAAAATAATGAAATCCATAGTTCAGCATATGCACTTGTGGATTTTGTTATGCTGCTATAGGATTAACCTGACTTCATGCTCTGATATCACTCTTCCTTTTAACGTCAGGAGAAATGTTGTTCCAAGGGGAACTTTGTGCCCTTCAGGCAAATTACACCCAGATGTGTCGTGTGTTATTATGAGCAGTCAGTTAGTAATGACATGTAGTCGTGCATCTGGGAGAGCTGTATTGTCGTTTACATGGAGATTGTCTTGGCAGGGCAGCATGGGGACTAAAATGATTAAAGATAAACCATCAGATTTCTTGTTGTTGTTGTTGTTGTTGTTGTTTATTATTGCATGTTCAAGTAATTTTCTCCTCCATTTCTCTCTGTAGCAACTGATAAAGCAGTGGAGCACAGGAGAGGAGACCGTGCGAGTGCTGGCCTTTCTGGCCATCAACAAGATCTCCCGTCAGAAACAAAACATGTTCCTAAACACCGTCCTC